TCAACCCTCATTTTTTAATTAATTTTAAGGTATATTATTCTTGATTCTAACAGCCACCTTTGCTGTTTATTTTTTCCTATGAAGGCTGGAATGTGCATATAGATATATTAAATGAAATCTGCATGTTTTTTTTGCCTGTTAAACTGTCCTATGCCAATTTAATTCTCAGGCACAGAAGCTGAAAGAATATTCTTTGTATTCCATTACAGTTTCCAGGACACTTTATGTGTTTTCAAAGTTTTTAGTATCAAAATTCAATGGGGACCAAGTAATCTACAAAGCAAGAATCTTAGATTCTGTTGTTAAGGCAAAAATGTCTGAAACTAGGATATTTATAAAGAAATGGATTTACTTGAGCTTATCATTTTGGAGGCTAGGAATTGCATTAAAATGGCACAGGTATTGGATCAACTTCTGATGAGGACCTCCTCCTGAATCAATACATAGCAAGAAGAAGCAGAGAAAAGTCAAACTCACACTCTTATCAGGCCATTCCTATCCATCCATACATACATGAGGGCTCTTTCCTGATGACCTAAACACCTTCCAGTAGGCTCTACCTCCTGCCACACTGAAAACCAAAATTCAATATAACTTTTGGTGGAAACAAACTAATCTCAAACTCTAGCAGCATTTTGTTCTGTAGGCCTGCCCAGTCTTCTCACAGAACTTGTTCTTGTATTGAAGCCTTTCTCCATTTTTTAACCTGCCTCCTGTGCATCCTCAGCCTTGTTAAGCTAAACCCATTTAGCTTAAATCAGCTTTGATTGGGATTTTGTTTAGTTTTCATTGAATAGCTAATGGACAGACCTTATAGGGATTAAAAGATATCTTCAATCATCCCAAACTTGGTTTGTATGGAAAAACATCAAAGTCGGAAACACAGCTACAATAGTGGTCACTATAGTACAGTTAGTGATAAACTTGAGATTCTTTGTAGAAGGTATGAGCATACCTCTCAATCCCATTCTCTTCAAGTTTTAGTTTCTTAGTCAATGACCTAGTTCTGCCTAAACAACAATAAAAACCTATTATAAAAGTCCTCTAAAAGACCCATAAACACAACAAATCAAAGAAAGGTTGGACAAATGGGATTGCATGAAATTGCAGAGCTTCTGCATGGCAAAGGACATAGCTAGCAAGATCAATAGAAAGCCCACGGATTGGGAGAAGATCTTCACTAGACAGACAATGAACAAGGGTCTCATATCTAAAATATACCTGGAACTCAAAAAATTAAGTCCCCCAACAACAAATCCTCAAAGAAACAACTGTCCAATAAATAAGTGGGCTAAAGACTTAAAGAGACACTTCTCTGAAGAGGAAAGAAGGATGGCCAATAGACACATGAAGAAATGCTCAACCTCCCTAGCCATAAAACAAACGCAAATCAAAACAACATTGAGATACCACCTCACCCCAGTTAGAATGGCTATAATCAAGAACTCTAATAACAACAGATGCTGGAGGGGATGTGGACAGAAGGGAACCTTACTGTATTGTTGGTGGGAGTGTAAACTTGTTCAACCACTTTGGAAAGTAATATGGAGGTTCCTCAAAAGACTCTACATAGACCTCCCCTATGACCCAGCAATCCCACTTTTGGGCATTTACCCAAATGTTTACAAACAAGACCATACTAAAGCTACCAGTACAACTATGTTTATTGCAGCATTATTTACCATAGCTAAGCTAGGGAACCAATCCAGATGCCCCTCAGTAGATGAATGGATCAAGAAAATGTGGTATATATACACAATGAAATTCTATGCCTCTGTCAGAAAGAATGACATTGCCCCATTTGTTAGGAAATGGAAAGACCTGGAAAAAATTATATTAAGTGAAGTAAGCCAGGCCCAAAGAAACATAGGCCCCATGGTTTCCCTTATTTGCAATAACTAGTATATGTCTGAGACAAGCAGAAATGGTCAGATAAGTTGATGTTAAGTGAAATGAACCCCAAGATAAGTATTCAAATGTTTTTTTTTTCTTTCATGCAATTGTTTCTAACACATTTATAGGACTATTTCTTTGTTGCTTTGTATGTCCTTCCCCCACAATATAACCCCTGCTTTCACTGTATTTGATGTTGGTATAATTTGTGGAGGGGAGGGGAAAAAACAAATCGTTTAAATAGGGATACAGGTGGACCCATTGCAACAATGAGGTGTGTCAGTCGTTATGTTGAAAAACAAACTTTACAACTTTTTCTGGGGGGGGAGGGCGGGGTTGATTGGGGGTGGGTGGGGGGGTGGGAGATGAGAAAGGTGGGAAGGGGAAACAAAGGAGGAGGCAATAATGCTTGTTAAGAAATGTACTCATTATCTTGCCCATGCAATTGTAACTCCTCTATGGTATTTTCATAATAATAATAATAATAATAAAGTCCTCTAAAGCGTCCAGGAGCCGAGATAACTAGAGGAGTGTCACAGTGTACATTGTCACACATATAAAGAAAACTACTTCCCTTAAGGGAAAAACCTTTTGGTATAGTATCAACTATTAAATAAACAACAAAAATAATCCATAGAATTCATAAGAATGAATGACATTTCAGTGATCTTTCCATTTTTTTCTTGTATAAGAAAACAAGGCAGTGTTGAACAGTTGGTGTTTTATTCTCTTTGTGTCAGATCCGGGAGATACTTTATATTTTAGTCTGTCCTTTCTTCTTTACACTTAGATGGGCAAAATGAATTCCTTCCACTGCTTCCAAGTCAGGCTGAGTCATTATTATATATGGGAAGGAAATGGTTGGGTTCTGGGGGAGGTTTTATATCTCCCCATCTCCCCACGGCCCCCACCCCCCACTCCCCGGAGTCAAAATACATACAATATTAAATGGCTTCTTGTCAGCCAAAGGCAATGTTTGGCTGTTTTGTAATGTTACATAACTTTCTGAAAATGTCAGATAGCCTTATGTAGGCAGCATGCTTGTATGAGCATCTATCTCCCTGGGTGCAGCCAATTCATCTATTATAACATGAGAGCCACAGCTTGGTTGTTGGTTAACAAAACACCCCCAAACATATAACTGAATTTTGTGGTTATTGTTGTAATCCTAAGAAGCTGTACATTCATGTTGAAGTCTGAACATTTTACAGAAATTTCACAATTGGAGTCTATATATGTTGAGGGTGAGTGGAAGGCTCACCTTTATAAGAAGGCTGGAAAAATAAAAGGAAAAACCAACTTGACATTGGGATAGAGCTAAACTCAATTTTCTTAGTAATCTTTTCTAAAAGTGAATAACTAATGACTTGTAGTAAACCATGTAATCTACTTAAAAAAGCAGTTCTTAATGGGCTTCTTCCTTCAGGCTACTTCCCACAAAAATCAGTAATTTCATGTCTATCTTTGATTCTTTTTGTGTGTGTGGTGCTGGGAATCGAATGAGGGCCTCACACACAATTTATAAGTACTCTCCACTGATCTATATCCCAGCCTTGTACGTTCCACATTCCTTAATTAATAGAAAATGATATTTGACTTTTTAATTTTTCACTTTGTTACTTGTATTAGTATCAAAAACAAATTAGCCATGGACTGGATTAAAATGAAGTGTGCTCTTCCCATTTTTTCGAACTAAAACACAAAGTATTTTACAGGCACATTCCAAATTCAGATTTGTCAAATCTGTGACGTTTTGATAGTCTTCAGTGGCAGACACCAGAAATCAAAGACCTCTTAAAAGTCACATTATAAACACACACATTCAATCTCTTTCCTCAAGTTACTTCTGTTACTTCTTTGTGTGTGTGTTTGGGGTGGGGGAGCCAAGCATCTATCACTTAGCTCATTTTTGTATAGCTCATAGGAGAACTGCCTGATAAAGCCTGGTAGGTTTTATTGTTTCTTTTTGAGGGGGAGGAGGAGAGTTGTTTGTTTGTTGAGAACTGTAAAACTGTGTTGCACCTATCTTCAGTTATGTCCTCTTTCTGGCATTTTCTAGGTCAACAGCTGCAGAACAAAATACTCAAGCCCTGTCTTTAGCCTCACTTCAAATCTACAGTAGAGAGAAATTCTTTCCAAGATAATCTCTATTTATTGGATTTACCTAGGTAATCCCCAAACTCTACCATGTATACAATGAGTTTGAAACATTTTAGATATCAGAAGTCGTTTGGTATTTTTTTATTTTCTAGCTAGAAGAAATCCTTACCAAAGACACTTTGTTGTTTAAGCTCCCTTATTTTCTCTCCTCGTCTTCTTCTAAACAATACTTGTGCTAGCATTGGAGTAAGAGTTAATATACTGTGTCCACCCTTTCGCTGTTAAATCCAGCATTGCCTGATAGATGATTGAATTTTTAAAAAAGACTTGTTGGGGGCTGGGAAGGTGGCTCAGTGGTAGAGCGCTTGCCTTGCATGCTTGAGGCCCTGGGTTCGATCTCCTCAACAACCACATAAGCAGAAAAAGCCGGAAGTGGCGCTGTGGCTGAAATGGTAGAGCGCTAGCCTTGAGCTGAAGATCTGAGGGACAGCGCCCAGAAAAAAAAAAAGAAAAGGACTTGTTGGGAAGCCCTTTACAGTGAAACCTATTCATTTCGACTATCGCTACAACTGTGAAACTTGAAACTTTGAGAACATCTCACAGAGCCAGCAGTGGACGTTGCCCAGACAGCATTTGAAATGCTGACGAGCGACCGAGATGCAGGCCCCAGGGCTCCTACTACGCACCTGGTCCAGGTAAGGTCCCTATCAGTCACCGGGAGCCCTATCCCCGCGGAGCCCTATCCCCGCGGAGCCCTATCCCCGCGGAGCCCTATCCCCGAGCCCCGCCTTCCGGCAGCAGTGGAGATGCTGCCGTCGAATCGGGTCGCAGAAGACGAGACGCCACGCCCCCACGAAGGGCGGGGCCACTCACACTTCCTCGGAGGAGAGGCAAGGGGCGGGCACAAGATGACGTCACGCAGGGACCCCACTCTGGTTGGAGGGAGGTTTGCGGAGATCCTGAGAGCCAGGAGGGAAGGAGGCGGAGTCTAGTTTCCGTGGTGACCGGTTGCCCTGCGGTCGCCTGGTAACGGGTCGCCGCGGTCCTGGCTGCCTCGGCGCCAGCGGCTTAGGCCGTGGAGCTCCTGTGGGCCCGAGCCCTCCTCACGTCGCACTCCTGTCCGCCCGGCCATGGCTGCCGCCGCAGCAGTGGTCTCACCGTCGGGGTTGGAAGATGGGGTGTCGCGGTCTCGCGGCGACGGGGCAGGGGAGGCGGGCGTGGAGCGAGGGCCCGGCGCGGCCTACCACATGTTCGTGGTGATGGAGGACTTGGTGGAGAAGCTGAAGCTGCTCTGCTACGAGGAGGAGCTCCTCCGGAAGAACAACCTGAAGCCCCCATCCAGGTGGGTGCACCTCGCCCTCGAGCGCCCGCCGGGGCCCGGCCGGGCTCGGGCCAGGCTGGGGACACGGAGCGCGGAGCCGCCCGGCCCGGCCTGCCTGATGGCTGCCCCGGGAAGGGCCGTGCGCTGCGGGCTCCGCCGGGCGCCCCCGGGAGCTCGCGGAACTTGTGGAGCTCACACTCAGGCCGAGAAAGTCGCGAAGTTTGGAAACTGCGGAGAGGAAGGCAGGGCCCGCCGGCCCCGCTTGAGAGCGCGCGCGCGCCCTCACCAAACAAGGACCAGAGACCGTGTGGAGAGCACCGCGCACCAGTCCGGGAGCGCACCAGTCCGGGAGCACGGTGTAGAGCGAGTTCTAGGCTTCCTTGTCCTTGTGCTAGACTTTCTGTAGCTGGCTTGCTGCGGGGCACTTTATAAACGGTCCACTCGTGAACTAATTGCTAGGGTAGGCTTCTGCTCTGAAATAATAGCACTCTTAGGAGCAGAGAAGTGGAAACCACCACACACGAAATGACAACCCTTGGAACTCCCAATATCCCAAAGGCGGTGCCATTGGAGTGGTAGAACGCAGTGGACAAGTAGCACTGTCTCATCACTGTAACTTAGTGATAAATAAAATGCATCGCTTTTTTTTTCTAACTTTAACACGTTGTGTTGTTCTGTAAAACAATGAAGATTGCGAATTAGAGAACTTTCTTTTAATGTCGGCAGGTAACTCCAAATAAATCTCCCTGATCTCATTCCTCTGCTTTCTGTCAGTAGCTTGAATGAAAAGATTTGTAGGCTTTCTTTGAAAGATCCATATTTAGCCCATAGTAGGAAAAAGTTAGGGGGAAAAGCAGTTCAACTTGATCTATGATAGCAATGTTGCATTGATCATGATAATGTAAACAACTGATATTCCTATAGTGCTAATAAAATTGGATTCTATTTTGCAAGTGTCTGTAAGGCTTCTGCTCATATTCCTGTACTATTTCCTAGGGAGTTGAGCCATGTACTTTGAACCATGGGTTTGTATGGAGATATCCAATTTAATGGTTCTCATAGTATAGTTACCAGACAACACCAGCATCACCTAGAAATTTAGAAATTTCTCAGGGCCTGGCTCAACTCTTACCTTTTCTAAAAACTATGGGTCGTGCCAGCAGTCTGTATAATCAAGTCTTCTGAGTAACGCACATAGTGTTTGAGAGCCACTGTCTTGATCTTCAATATCTGTCAGTATCTATTCCTCTGCCTTTGAAGAGTAGCAGTTGATAAGGAAAAAATGAGTTGTTGGCTCTTTGGAAGTGTTTTATGCACATATCTGGAAGGATTTTCATGGCCTTTTTTCTTTCTTTCTTTCTAGAACATTTACACTTATCTGTAGAAAAGTTGGGGAAACTTGAAATATACCAGTGAATTCTGAATTAACCATAGCACAATGCTTCTATTAATCTAAACACATTATAAACGTAACAGTTATAGCTATATAAAAAAGCCCAAAATAAGATCTTTGATTAAACTGACCAGAATGGTATTACTCACAAGTTTTATTTCTATCATGTACCATATTGATCTTTATTGGAGTATTTTTGGTAGAGCAGAGGATAAACATTAAATGTTTTGTTGGACTGAGGATGTAACAGATTCTTAATTCTATTTAGGTAGGAATCTTTTGACATATACATATAGTAGAGCTCCACTAAAGAAGTTACTATTTTATCCATTGATAAGGAAAATAGTTATGTGTGGCCAAAAAGCAGTATTTTATGGCCTTCATTGATTTGAATATGTGGCTAAAATGAAAACAACTGTTTAACATTGCTAATAGCAACAGAAATACATAGTGAATAATTTTTTTAAATTTTCTTGTGTTTCATTGTAAGCCTCTCCTAGTTCTAAATCACTATTTGAGAGGGATTACTCATCTATTATTAATCACTTAAGTGATTTTGCAAAAGTTTTACACTCTTTGTTTTCTAACATGCATTACCTTTCCTAAGGATTAAGTCTCTGATCTAATTTACAATAGCAATTCCTCTAATCCTGCTGATTCAAAATTTAATGTGAGCACTGTGGATTACTGAAACTTCAAAGAGTGAGTTATTGATGTCTTTTGATTTGAAGATGATTTGACAGGGAAAAAACAAGTTGTCAAGCATATTTTGATTTGGCCTCATGAGTTATAGACTTACTTGTACAATTAACCATTCCCTTCTGCCCCCTTGTTTTGGAACAGACACTATTTTGCCCTGCCTACAAACCCTGGTGAACAGTTCTACATGTTTTGCACTATTGCTGCTTGGCTGATTAACAAAACTGGACATCCCTTTGAGCAGCCTCAAGAGTATGATGACCCTAATGCAACAATATCTAGCATATTATCTGAGCTTCGATCATTTGTAAGTGTAAACACTCTTCTTTTTACATGTTCTGAAGCCAACAAATGTTAGATGACTCTTTTTATGAATATGTATATATGTAAATAATTACCTCTGAATGTGTTTTCAAGTAAAACTTCAGTATGCTTGATATTATAACACTAATGCTACTTCTCAAATGCTTAGTATGTATTCTTTATGGCCCATAGTAATGATATTTTTCTTGTTAAGTCTTAGGGGGTAAATTTATGGGTATCAGTCTCTTCTCTAAAAGTATGATTAAAAACTATCATTGAAACTCTGTATTTCTTTAAATTTCTTTTTCAATATCTTTAAATAGTTGTACAAAAGGATTTCAATTCAGCATGTCAGTTTATGTGTATAATACTTTTATGTTTTGAAAGAGAACTCTGATAACCTAGAAAAACAGTTGTTTTCATTTTTGTTTTTCCAGAAGACTGGCAGTGAGATATTTTGGGCACACATTATTAGTTTTTGACAGATGACTCTGTCCTTCACATACTTGGTTCAACAATACATGATCATACCTGCAGTTCTACTGATTTTCTTTTTATCCTAATAAGATCAATGGTTTTTTTTCCTGCTGCTATGATATTATTTATTGCCTGTTAATTTGGTAATTTTAACAATAAAATATCTTAGTTTTCCTCAATTTTCTATCTATAGTTTGAAAGAAAAGCTTTAATAATTATAAGGAACAATGTAATTACAGTTAAACTATTTTAAAAATAGAAAGGTGATATTTGTATTGCAGAGTATTTTTAAACAAAAAATTGTCCAAAAATTTGTTGAAAAAATTGGTACAAATATTTTGCTTAAAATGTTAACAATTTTGATATTTAGAAAATAACAAGATAATTTCCTGTTAATTGTTTGTTTGTTTCAGGGGAGAACTGCAGACTTTCCCCCTTCAAAATTAAAGTCGGGTTATGGAGAGCATGTATGCTATGTTTTGGATTGTTTAGCCGAAGAAGCACTAAAATATATTGGCTTTACCTGGAAAAGGTAACTATTATCCAACCTAGTATAATTTTATGTACATGCCTTTTCCTCTGAGGAGCAATGCTGTTTAATTGAACGGATAGTAATTGGTTGTTCCAAACTGAAAGTGCCATAGGAGGTTAAGAAAGGTCAGTACAGATGAAATTAGAATGTCTTTCTTCAAAACCAGGAATAAAGTAATATTAGATATTATTGTGCCCTTCTGTATTCATTATGTAGCTATAAAGGTTTAACTGTGACTGTACATCTTTGTAAATTTAGGAAAATTTATTAAAATTCTCTTGGTACATAGATTTATTTATACAAACAACCATAGCATATGCATGGAAGTAACTGATAGCTCTTTATTTGGGAAAAAATGGAAATTCATATAGTGCTAAAAATGGGATTTTTCTCTGCTTTAGGCTGTGTAACCATAATACTAAGAAGCTACCTAACACTTCTAGATGTTGTTTATTGTTTCATTATGTGAACTGAAAGTACTCTGTTTATGTCTTTAGTATTATATTGTATTTTTCCTATGGCATTAAAATAATTTATTCACAGTCTTTCTTACTAGAAATCCTTTAATCATCATATGTATACTGTGGCAATTGGTGTACCTTAACATATGATGCTATACTAGAGCATATGGTGTATCATATATGTAGATGTTGAGCATACAGATCAAGAAAAAAAATCAGAAAATTTATGCAGTTTATAATTAGAAATTATATTATTTTCATATTTCATACATTAAGATTGATAGAATGTGTAATATATCACACAAATGACTAAGCAGCATTTTTTGGATTAAAGATAATTTTGGTAGAAATAGCCCTGATAATATTGTAATATATTTATATTTTTTAATATAAAAACTTCCTTGATTTAGGTTATTATTGAGTTGAATTAGGTTATTTTTGAGTTGTGTTAAATTACTGATACTCATATTTTTAAGGTAAAACAGCAGTTTTTCTCACACCAATCCAAACATATCCACTAGAACAATATAAAGGATAACAACACAATCACAATACTTTTTTATTAGATTTCAAGAAAACATAAGTTATGGAATATGAAGCTGTTTGGCATATTTTAAGTTACTAAATCTCTAGTCCTGTATGTTTTAACTTCATCAGAAGTTATTAGTACCTCAGTCACTATTTGATTTTGCCCTTTCTTTGTGCTACACATATTTTATTCCTGGTTTGTGTATTATGACTTGCATAATGTATAAGGACTGTAGTTATCTGGGAAAGAAGATGGAGGAAAGCTGAAAAGTGACAGAACTTAGAGAATACACCAAATATATATAGTTGTATGTTTACTAGTAATCACATAACAAATAAATTATAGAACACTGCTTTTGAGAAAATTATATGACTAATGTAATTAAGATGTTTATTCTTAACGATATTTTGGTATAGTGGAAGTACTTTATATGTAGTATGAAAACAGAAAAATAAAACTTGTTGAAAGTGTTTAAAGAAGTTGGGTGAATTCACAGAGAACTGATTGTGTTAGGAACGCTAATTAGATTTTGGAAACAAGAATCAAGCTCATTACCTGTATAAAAATAAGCTTCAAGTTGATCAAAGATAAAAATGTAAAGAAAAAACTCTATAGAAATACTAAAATACTGAAAGGTGATAGTAAATATTGTATGAGGAAAAGCTTTATATATATGATAAATCTCAGATCTGTGCAAGAAAATGTTGCCATATCTATTTGATAAGATTAAACTATTTTTAGTAGCCAGGATTGTAAGTAATAAACTAGGTAAGATATTTTTAATAGAGATCAAGCAGAGCATAAATTTTCTTAATTTATAAAAAGCCAAAGGGCAAAGAGCATAATTGGGCATTTCACTGAAATGGAAATGAGTAACCAATTAAACTAGAAAAGCTGTTCAGCCACTCTCATCCTAAAGAAATTCAGTTAAAAAAACAGGAATGAAATTTCTTCACTTGTTTAATTGGCAAAGATTAATGTGTACATCATATTGCTGAATGTATAGACAGAGAGATACTCTTTTTTAGGATTGTTGCGAGTGTAAATTAGGGTAATATTTTGCAGGCCAATTCTAGCAAAACGATAATTTGTAGAAAGTTGCTGATCTAACTATTCCACTTGCACAAATTTAATCTAAATGGTATGCATAATGATAAATATACAAAGATGATCTTTTCAATGTTGTCTTGGACAGAAACTAGAAAGAACATTAATTTTTTCATAGGCCTCCAGGATTATTGTAGTATTGTTAATCAATAAAATATAGTGCAGATGTGTGGAGAAAATGAGAAAAACATATGTACTTAAGTGTCGTATATTAGTGCAGAACATGTATTGCATCAAAGATTGCAAAGTATCATAGTTGTGAATTTTTTCTTTGTATTTGGAGATAAACAGCTTTACTTTTTTTTACACAGTGTGTTTCAGGAAGAATATGAAATTGTAATAGAGATTGTAGGAAAGGAGCAAAAGGGACAAGATATGATGTAAAAGTGATTTTTAATTTTCTCACTATACTTCCTTCATCTTACTAAAATTTGTTAAAACTCTCATACTAAGCTCTCTCATTTTAGGCCAGCTTACCCAGTGGAAGAATTAGAAGAGGAGGCTGTTGGAGAAGATGATGCAGAGTTAACATTAAGTAAATTGGATGAAGAATTTGTGGTATGTATGTTGCTGAACTTCCTTTTCTTTTCTATCTTTGGTTTCCTTCCCTTCTCAGAATTTCTGTGGACTTCTATTTTCTGGAATGCATTTTATTTCATTGTTTTGAAAAGATAGAAGCTTTTAAGGACAATATCAATTGTGAGTTCTTTAGGCTTTTAAGTAAATTAATATTGATATTCTCTAATGAGTTTCAGCAGAGGTTCTTAAACTACAAAAGTAATTGTATAATATTAGTTATGTGAGTAAGTATTTTGTTAACAAGGTCAGTCATTTCTTGAATAAACTATGCCTGACAAAGAATCTAGAACACAAGAATTGTCTTAATGGTCTGTAATTTCAACATCTAGGATTAAGGTAGGAGGATTTTGACTTCAAGATTAATCTGAGGTACATAACAAGACTCTCATAACAACAAAAACAGAAACAAATAACAGCAACAACCCTCCCCCCTAAGAACTTAGGAGTAATACATTCTCATATGAATAGCATTTATTTCTAAGAAATTTCTTTGTGCATCTCAAATTTTGATGACTACTCCAGGAATTTTTAAAAAATGTTTTAAAATAACCAATATTTCAGCTGTTTGGTGTTATGGGCACCTTTTCCCTGTTTAACATCCTATCCAAGCTATAAAGTTAAATGGTCAAATCTCTACAACAAACAAACCAGACTAATAAGACACAGAGACAAAGGTCTTTTTCTCAGGATAATTCTTTCTCAGAACTATAAATGGACTGACTGTAGTACTTTAGAAAGTATACACATGGTCTGGAAAAGACAAGATAGAAAAAACAACTGTGTATGGTATTTTGCTGTCATGAACCAATTAAAGATTTTATTTTATTTTTTTTAGCCTGGCCCTTTTGGCTCACTCCTGTCATTCTAGCAGTTCAGGAGCTAAGATCTGAGAGTTGTAATTGACAGCCAGCCTGGCAGAAAAGTCCATGAGACTCTCATCTCCAATTAATAACCTAAAAACTGGAAGTGGAGCTGTGGCTCAAAAGTGGTGCCTTGAGCAATAAAAGTTTAGGGAAAGCCCCCAGGCCCTGATCCAAGCCCCACATCTGACAAAAAGTAGAAAAGTATTGCTTGATGGTTTTTAAATCACTTGTTAGTAAATAGATTGTGTATATAACCTACATAAGTTAGGGTAAATTACTCAATTATTTTAATACCAAATACTAAAAATATAACTATTACATAATTTAGAATGAAACCAAAGAAAATATTATATACCTATTACAAATTATTTACAAAGTAACTTTGGTGGCGTGAGGATTACTTATACTTTGTCATTATGACCTCAACTATGTAGAATATGTGGAAGAAGAAAAGTATCAGTGTGTGAATGAAAGTTAAGTGGATAGGAGGATCCTTATTACTCTCTCACTAGTTCTTCAAAATTTTAGTTTATCAGCAGTTATAATAAACATAGGTTAAAAGATGATTCCACTATTAAAAGAAAATAATCATAAAACTAGTCAACTTAAAAGATATATTTTTAAAGTGATAAATTTGAAAAGACAAGGCAAAAAAGTGCTCATTCATTGTACATGCACTTATTTTTATGTAGCAGAAGTCAATAAGAGACTGGTAATAAGAGACAAACGGCACATGGTCTTCCAGATAAGTGGATGTTTAATCCAAAATGTAAGGAGATACAACAAAGTAAACAAGACTGGGGAAACAAAGGACCTCCACTCATCCGGTTGAATCATTACTAAATGACTCCATGCTGCGGACCACATATATGATATACACATCGGAGGGAAACTAGGAGGAGGACACTAAAACAGAGGGAAACGGGAAAACATACAACAGTGGGAACCATCAGCTGCACTGGTCATAGATCAAACCGAACTAAGCAACTCAATGGCAGGGATGAGAGGGAAGGAATGAGTGGGAAAGAGGGAGCAGCTGACACTAAGCAAAAGGAAAGAAATGTACATATCACCCGATGTGGAAGAAATAACTGTATTGTCAAAGCTCATAGAATTAATCAACTTTATAGACCACGATTAAGACAATTTGCCCCATGAAGGTTAGAATGTTTGTGGCTTTAACAAAGTATCACTATCTCACAATACTGTGAAATTTGTGTAATCACTTAGTTACAATAAAAATGTTGGTATAAAAAAATAAGAAAAATAGAGATCCACACTCCTGGAAAAGCATATAGGCTGTGATTGAATGTATGTAGTCTTCAGAATATACACTCTATTAAATGAACCCCAAGATAGGGGCATGAGAGGTTTTATCTTTGTTACTGTTGTTTGTAATGTATTTATAATGTACTATGTGTTTTTTTTTGTTTCTTTTGGATGTTCTTCTCCCATGGTATAACTCCTGTTTTCACTGTGGAGAGAGAGAGACAGAAAGACAGAGAGAGAGAGAGACAGAGGGAGAGGGAGACAATGAGAGAGGGAGAGGGAGAGGGAAAAAGGAGAGAGGGAGAGAGGAGGGGGGCAGAGAGAGAATACTAATACAGCATGTACAGAGCTGGCAACAGAAAGGAGCTTTTCATGATCTGGATTCTGAGGCAGAACAATTGTGGGCAAAGCTTCTGAGTGAGACAGGGGAGAGCTTGGAGGATAGAACAGAACAGATGGATTGTTTTGGCCATTTAAAGAAGTTTATACTTCATTCTTTGTATTTGTAAACATTTGTTTTGCCATTTTTTTACTCATTTATTCTACTTGACATACCCTCATGTAGTCTTTTATTTTCTCCCCCAACACTGGGGACTGAGCCCGGGATCTCATGCTTGCTCTACTCCTGGAGCAACACCCCAGCTCCCTCCATCTTTAGTAACAATTTGTTATTAACAGTTGATTGACAGATACCTAGTTTTAGTACACCAACATTTAACTTCGAAGACATGTAACTTCAAAGCACTATTTAGGGGAGGCATGAAAAATCTCTGCTCATCAGTGGGGGTAAAAAAAATTATGTGAGAGCAGAAACCAGGCCTAATTTTTGCTTACTGTTGTATCTCCAGGTTGATAGGACTAGAAAATCTGTCAGCACACTGCATAGCTTGTCAAAACTAATGCTGATTTTTTTCAATGAATTATTTTAAATTAAAAGCAGCATTACTGGGCTTATAAATGTAAAGGCACAAAGTAGAAAGCAGCCTGTTCACACATTTTTTTTCCAACCATCAGGCAAGAAAGATCTTATGCCATCATGACACCAACTTTGAAGACCTTCCCTAGCTCCTGTCTTCTTTTAGTATACCTCCCCAATTTTTTTCTTTCTTTTCTTCCATATTGTCATTATAGTGTTACAAGAGATCCTCTCAGTACAAGAGGCCCTTTTACTTCTCCCATTTTTCTTGCTAAGGAGAGCTTAGCTGAGTCAGTGCTAAAAAGCTTTTTGATGGTACCATAGTACTTTTATTGCCAGAGTGTGATAGGAGCCGGCCAAGGATGTGAAGATCATCTTTTGTTTTAAACTAGCAGATCAAAACAGAACACATTGATCATTATTTTTTTTAAAAAACATATTGGTCATGATACAAAATATTCCCACCTACTCTTTGAAATGATATTCTTAATAATTGCTAGTAAGAGAATTAAGTAGGTATAAATTGGTGACAAAGAAATGGTAGGAAATTTTTGGGACTTCTGAATTATTGAGTTGAATTATTTTCAATAATTATTTGATTCATATAATCTGTATATCTTGTATATAATAAAAGTGTAGGGGAGGGAAGAAAACAAATACACTTACTTTAGTGCCCTACTCACAGAGTTTTCTGAATAGATCTTAGTTTCTGAAAAGATAGAACCTTAGAGTTTGCATTCTAACTAGTTTACAAGTGATACTGATGCTACTGATCTCAGAACCACTTCCCTACCTATTTGTGAAGTGAAGCATTGTCTTTCAAATCCACCACTCTACAGCTACATGAAAGTGTATACCAGCCAACACTCACTTGCTAGTGCTTGTTTCTTTGCATGATCGTATTGTTACTTGAGGAGCAAGTTCTACTAGCTTTATTATCATTTTTTTTGTTTTTGTTTTTGTTTTTTGGGGGGTCTGGTCGTGGGGCCTGAACTCTGGGCCTGGCCTCTGCCCTCAGCTCTTCAGCTCAAGGCCAGCACTCTACCACTTGAGCCACAGCGCCACTTCCAGCTTTTTTCTTTTTGTTTATGTGGTGCTGAGGAATTGAACCCAGGGCCTCATGCATGCAAGGCAAGCGCTCTACCACTGAGCCACCTCCCCAGCCCCTATTATCATGTTTTTAAGATGAGAAATTCTTCTTAAATTTGTTTTACCTACTATCACTTGGCCTCAAAACACATTTGAAGAAAGAGGAAAGCTCATACTTGGTTTTACATGCTGATAATATTTGCTTCATTTTACTGCACATTAAGGAGGAAATTGCCTCTCAGAGATCACTTCCTACCCACACTCCACACAACCAGTTGGTGTACAGATCAGGACAAGTTTGGAATCCATTTGAATTAACTTTCTAAACAAATTTAAAGGCCCATGGACTTAGGAGTGTGTATAACCATTTACATATCAAGCTTAAGCACAAAAATGTAAGAAATACACATCACTGTTGTTAGTCTCTGAAGTGAGACTGTTTTTTGTCAGTCTCACATTTTTGTCCATTCCAGTCATGCTGCTCAATACTTTCATAAACTTACTATCTATTTCAAATATACTACTTGGGGTTGTTTTCTCCTGTTTTATGTTCTGCAGCATTATCTCCTTTCCTTTGTCTCATTTTTATTTTATTCTACAGTGACTTCAAGAATGATCTTGTTAAAGATCAGAACTTCAAAGAAAATATGAGTTGTTAATAATATTGTACCATACTTTATGCATATGTTTATTAGGCTCATAAATACATTTTACTGGGTTCGTTTTTAATAAAGCTTAGTAGAGCTTAGTATATTATTTATAGAAAGGCTGGAATGTTAAAATTATTTTGCATAATTTAAAATATTTTTATTTTCCTAAGGAAGAGGAGACAGATAATGAAGAAAACTTTATTGATCTCAACGTTTTAAAGGCTCAGACCTATCGCTTGGTAAGTTTCATTGGATACAGAACACTGAAAAGCAGTCAACATTGTGTTGGAAATCTCAGTGTCATTGTCAGATAATACTTTATGTATCAGCTAAAACTTAGTTCTGAAGTTCTGCTTCTTATATACAAAATGGTATATACAATTATGGCAAATATAAAAATCCAGAGGCATGAGACAGTCTTCTATCTAAACTATGGAAAATCAACAAATCAGCATAATGTTGCTCATGCAAACTTGAAATAATTTATTTTCCTAGTGGCATGTTTAATTATGGAAAGGCATAAATTATTCTACTTCAAGTTATTCTCCATTAAAATTGGCCAGTATTGATTGATCTTGTTTATAGAAGATACTAAAATTGTAATACTTTGAAGTAAAATAAATTATATTAAGAATGGCTATGGATAGGTGTCAGGCATTGCTTTAAAACAGGTTTCTTTTATTCTCTGTTTTAATTATGAAATAAATACACTATAGGAGTATACTCTCATTTAGATTTTAAATATACAGATTGGACTTTGACATTTTTTCTGTCTGTATATTATATTTCAATAAAGTATATAACTGTGCACACTCAAAAAAGTACAAATGTAATATATTCTTATTTGTCTTTAGTTAATTTGTATGAATCCTTAAATTTGGACCAGACTTCGATCTAATATCTTGATAACTTTAACCTGCTCCAAGATGTTTTTTTATGCCTTTTGCTATCTTGACATTGTTAATTTCACTACTCATTATTAGTGAAGTGTGTGTGTGGCTACGGCCCAGCTTAAGATGGAATATGCACACTTATAGTTCAGTTGTATGTGTCTTGACATTAGTACTTACTAAGATTCTAAACTGAGCCCATTTCCAAACATCTGATGTCTTGTATTCTTCATCTGTTAAATGAAAGTATTAGTCTTTTCATGAAATTCCTAAGGATTAAGAGAATAATTGTATATGAAATATTATGAGACTGTCACATAGAAAGTGTTCTGTACATGTTGGCAAATTGAATATTTCATTTTTCTACGCATGTTTCTGCTTTCATATCTGGCCCATGAATCCCTTTATAGTGGGGATAAAGAGCCTTTTTATATTCTTCCTCATATGAAACAAGATGTTAAATAACTGTTTCTTAAGTAAGTGAAGTTATTGATCAATTGAAATTACAAATAATGTTAATACTTATATCCAAAGAAATAAACTCCATTTGTAGCAATAACTTATATTTGAAGATCATTTTGTAATCTTCAGATTACTTTAAAATGCTTCCTTCATGATTTTAAGGCAGTTTCTGAAGAGAGATCTTATACCTCTGAATGGAGGTAGAGGAACCTGCCACATGAATATGCATGCAACAAGGAAACTCCCTCAAATGGCAATGGTCAATAATTGTTTTATTATAGTCCATAGTAACATCTTAATTTTTCTACTTAATTATTTCTTAACTTCATAAGGTTTCTCAGAAGAAAGAGACAAACAAAAAAGAAACAAAAATGAAGAGAAATGGAGCATTAAAACTGATTAAATATTTTGCAAAGTCCATAATAAATAAATAAATAAATAAATAAAGTCTTAAAATTTCCCAGCTACTTAGAAGTTGGCAGCAGGAAGATTACAATTCAAGGCCAGCTCAGACAAAGTTAGTGAGACTCTGTCTCAAGAGATAAAAACAAAAGGACTAAAGGAAAGGTTCAAATTATGGAGTGTCAAACACGAGGCCTCAGTACCTCAGAAAAACAACAAAATACTACTGCTTTTTATTGACTTTGAAGTTTATTTAAGTAAATGCTTTTATATCCTTTTTACAAATTTAAATTCTAAAATTTATAAATTTGGGACCGTTTATGTTTTTGGAAAGCTAATAAATTATAGCACCTGAATTTGAACTGTTTCTCCAAACTCCAAGTCTTTTCTTATTTCTTCCTACCTACTTGAATAAGTACACTATGCTAGTGGTAGTTTTGTAATGCATGTATTGGCCATGATAAAGATGAAGTACTCCTTCAGAATGAGAGGAAAAAGAAATGTGGATTTGTATCCAGTTATTTTCTGAATAAAACTTGTCATTTGTATTGATTTTTCTATTGATGGGATAAGTAAAGGATTCCTCTGCACAAAGTAGCTTGGGTATGAGCTCTTTCCACTGTCACTGATCCTAAGTCCCTGTTGGTCCTGACTTCAATTTATCATCTCAAACTATATAAGAAATGATTTTTCTTATTTGTGTGTCTTTATAGATTATCTAGATTGGTATCCTTTGAACAAAGAATAATATATATGTGTATACACACACACACACACACACACACGTACACATACATATCCTTTAGAGTTAAAAATATGTTATATTTTCGCAAGAAGAATCCTGAACACCAGGTGTTTGTGGATGGTCAACCATAAAGTACTAATGAGACAGAAAACCCTTTCCTATTTTAAAAAACCTGGCAAGCTTATAATATTGCCCACTAAAGCATCTGCCTCAGCCAGCTGTGTCTGACTCTAGTTTATAATGGTTTAGGCTGCTTTTCTCCAAGATAGAATTACTATATTACTATATGGGTTAGTAGCATAGATTTAAAACTCACAACATAGAAGTAATACCATTTTTGCAAAATTTAATATGATGTATTCTTTACCAGTACAAGAATGATAACATAAAAATGATAACATACTATCAGAGAAAGTGATGTATATGTAACTGTTCAAGTCTAACAATGTATGACTTTGCACTAAGTCTTTTCTACTTGTGGATTTAAAGTAGCTGGCACAGACTCTATTAATCACCATTCTATTTATTCTCTGTCTCAACCACTAGAATGAAAATTTCTAAAGAACGGGAGCTTTTCCCCTGTATTTTTCACCTGTGCCTCATGTGTAGAAGTTCCTCAGTAATCAAAAATATTGAATAACTACATGTCTGAGGGGGTGTTAAATTTGGAATTTCATAGCAAGGTTTAGTTCAGTCTTCATAGAGAAAATAAATTTTGAATGAAGTGGCACATGTATCATGTGTACCGTGTAAGATTTACAGGAAGAAATCTGTATGTTCCTTCTTTTCATAAATTAAAGTAATGCTGGAAAGGGTACTCTTATGGTAATTACACAAGCTGGAAAAACCCTAGCATTTTCCTTAGGTGTGGTAAAATGAAAGAAGTGAAAGGTAAACTGACACATTGCAGATTGTGTTCTCTGGAAAGCAGAGACAGAGATAGAGCTTATGGGGCAGGATATTTAGTAGAAATTGACACCGGTGAAAGAGGTAGAAAGCAGGGTTAGGCACTAGAGAAATCTAGCTATGATACAGACCTGACAAAGTCTTAGCCAACCTAGTGTAGCAGCCTGGAGCAAGGTGTCTGCTTGACTGTTGTCAGAGGCAGGCTTCGCATGTATTCAGGCTTGGTCCCAGGTAAAGTGGCTCTCTGCAGGTGACAAACTGTCAGCAGGCCACCTTCCTTGTAGCTTGGCAGTAAGTCCTTGAAAGAGGACCTGGTGATCTATATTCTTTAATGCCACAGGGTGTTTGAAGCCTCTACTTAATTGATTTGGAAAATTGTAGAGATACTGTCTGCCCATTGGCAAAACTTTTAAATGACTAAGCAAATCATAACATAGCAGTATTGTTTGATGAGCACTGAATAGAGAAAATTCCTTCTCTGAATGATTAATGAAATGGATTTGTTTGGCTAATAGCTGCTTTTCAAAACATTTATTAACTTTGAGCCTTAAATACACTTCAGCCATTCTTTATTAGCCTACATCATAAGTTGTACATAGGAGGACTCATTGTTACATTTCCACACATTTCCAATATATTTCAATCAGTCTCAACACCTCTATCATTCCCTTCTCTTCTCTCCAAAATAATTTCAGCAGGTTCCATTGTTCTGTTTTCATAGTTGCAAACTAATCTATTTTGATAATACTCATTCTCTTTTCAAATGTATCTCAAAATTATTCACCTATTTTTCTTTTAAAAACATATTATGTGAATTTCTTACTCCTAAAGTAACATCTGCAATTAGTAAGGGACTGGGTCACGTTCTAAAATTTCATCTGTAGGTAATTAGTTAAATTTTGACACAAGAAGAACAGTAAGCTTCAAGTCCAGTCCACAAAATTCCACATAGTCTATATTCCTCTAACTTCTTGAACGTTCTTGAAATCTGAAATTTGATTGTAATCACCCTGAGCAAGATGGGTGAAGGACATATCTGAATTACAGCTCTAATATTTGGACAGGAGCCATGCTGGTTAGGGATGTGGAGCAGAAGATTCAGGGTTGCGTGGGGTGGGGGCAGGGAGAGAAGGCTCTAGTGGCATCCTGTCAGCAAGGTGTCTGGTTATTTTTTATTCTATTTTGATGGGTCACTTGAGAAAACTGCCTGCATTTTTGTGGTGGCTATGCTCCTCTCTCCATTTGAAACTCAACAGAATCACTGCAGCAGTGCTCTGAGAGCGTGATGTAGATGCGTCACTCCTCCTCCTTCAGTGAAAAAGAGATGCTCTCTGAATTCTATTTTTAAATGCCCATCACTTCATTTCAAAGCATTTTTTTCAAACATGTCATAGATACTATTCTTCCTTGAGATGCTAAATTTGAGGTTTTAGAAACCAAATCCTGAGTGAAACTGCATAGAACCAAGTATCTCAAAAGGCTTAAACACAATTGGTTTTTAATTACTTGCAAGAAGAAAAAAAAGAAAAAAAAACAAAAACCGCTTTGTACCAAGAATGAGAGAACTTTTAGCTTAAAAAGCAAAAACTGAAAGAAAGTAAAACTATGAGCTTAGAATATAAAAACTTCATTTCAGTTTGAGACTCTCATCTAGGCCAGTCCTCAGTATTGGAATCAAAGAGAAGAAGATGGATCTGCTTTGGTTAATATCCAAAGCACTTTCAATGTTCTCCATTGTACACCTTCCTTCTGGGAAAAAGAAAATGTCCTTTCTGAGTAATTGGTTGGGGCCGGGTGCATGGGGGGTGGTGGTGGGGGGCGCTTTTATAATCTG